CTTATCTTTATTATATGGCTCTTTCTCACAAGGACTGGGAACTACCGAATTCAGAAATCGACATTGACCACGGTCTAGATTTTCCCATCTAGACCGGCATCTAGACCAATTACATTGTACTGTGAAAACGTTGCAAACTAAAATACTAAATATCGACAATTTTCTTCTATGGAAATGTTAAAAGGCCTGATGAGAGAAAAAAAAACAAACAAACAAACAAACAAACAAAGAAAAGAGGACGAGCAAACTTTAGAAGATTTAAGTCTAGCTCATCGCTGTTCGCAAGCAAAATGTCAGCTAGTACAAACCAGTTGCATTAAACGAATAAATTTTCCGTGTTTGCCATATATTAAACATCTTATTAGTCGACCTTAATCGGTCTGTCTGTATGGGAGAATCTTGACCGAGGTCGTGTGTACAGGCTGAACGCTGTGAGGTTTGTACTCAATACCTCGGTCAAGATTCTCCGATGCAGACCTTCTGCTCGGTTAATATAAGAGCTAAATCTAAATTAAGCTACACCAATTTAGTCTTGTAAGCCGAATTTAAGCCAAAGGTAAGACCAGCATTATTTGAGTCAGGTTCATCCAGACTGCAGTGCACCACGCCACCCAATCAACAAAGACCAACACTAACCACTACCGGGAAGAACTTCTAGTCTATTGTTGCCATGGTAACGCTGAGAACCTTGTGCGACTACATGCTGAGGTTTGAAATGGATGCACTGGGATGGACTTGTAACTCACGACGCTGGACTGACTGCTTAATGAGGCCGGGAGGAACTTAACAGAAAAGAGAAGAATAAAAGTCTGCGATCAAAATTTGTTCTACGGTATGCAGAGATATAACGAAGATGGCATACTTGATCTCTCCTATCATTACCCAAACACGAGCAAGCATCGAGTAATTAAAGGCAGTTAATTATGCATAATTCAAAATGGAGCTATTGCATTGATTAAATCATATGTTTAAATTATGATTGTATGAATATCTCTCTAGAAATGTTTTTTTGAAGGGCCTATCCGAAGTTTAGGTCCGTTTTTCAAATTCGTAATCTCTGACGTTTTCCTTTCATACAAAAAATCGCTTTATACTGTCTAATTTATTTCTTTTTAACAAAAATTG